GCGCTTGAGCAGATAAGCCACATCTGCAGGAGAACAACACACACAAACACAAGTATGCAGCCCATTAGGTCTGCAGTTGTATTTAGTAAAGATGCTACAAACCACCTTTATTTTATACAAGACGTATATCAGTATCCTCTCCTCACATGTGCAGATTTTAAGATGATATGTTAAGACAGCTTCACCACTATGCAGAGAATATTACTTACCACCTCGCTCTTGTCCCAACTAGCCACATTCTCTATACATTTAGTATTTACACTTTTCCAACAGTCTGTGGGCTAAATACCAGTTAGTTTTCTGGCTAACTTATATCCAACATCATGGAATTGCATTTTGTTTTCACTCTGCTTATCAGCAATGACCTTTATCAGTTGTCTTAAACAGTATCTGTTGAGCTGTTAGGATGGTGTATTACCCGCTGCAGCCGATAACTTTGTTGTACAAGTAGGACGGGAGTCCTTTCAGGTCCACATTGTTGTCAACAAACACAAACTGCATCTCCCGTGATCTGCCCAGATCTGAAACACACAAAGATTTCAACACCACCTCGCTCATTTTATTGTCACCACTAGAGCAAATAACGGAGGGACAGAGAAGAGGATTCACCGACCCAGTGGTAGGAAAGTCAGCCGGTTAGCTGCCATAGAGAGCTGGTTAAGGCGGTGGAGCCAGCAGAGCTGCCGGGGAACGTGGCTCAGCAGGTTGTGGTCCGCTGTCAGATTCTGTAGTGAGAGACAGCGATGTAGTCGGTCCGGTAGAGACATCAGCTGATTCATCGACACGTCAAGCGTCTCCAAGTCCTGCAGATCACCAATCTCTGCAGGTGTCACAAATATGTGAGGGACGTAAATCTCAGATAAAACTGCAAAACTTTATTATTTGAAAGAAAGAAAGAAAAAAGAAAATCCCAGTTTTGTCAAACTTTTATCAGAAATTTGATTTGTATTTGTTGTTCCTCGCTGGATGCCGTAAAACCAAAGGGTTTCCAAACATCTCAACTAGACATAACATCTTTGTTGACAGGTCTTTTTTTCATCATCTTGGCTAAAGCTGATGTAAGCCCATTATACCCTCCTCTTAGAAAGAGGCAGGAGCCTGTGGGATTTCTAGAACAAAATGAGAGCATCGCTGCAAAAAGAACAGCAGCACAGTCAAATGATTATATTATTTTCGAACCACAGCTGTAACTGAATATACTCTCTGGTTTTGGTTAAGTATACTTTGATATAGGGCTGGAAGCACTGTTTCTCATCACTACTATTTTTATTTTGCACACACTGTCTCACAGTTAGGATGAAATTCAGTCAACAGAAATTGTGA